CTCATAGACACATTAAATCTGAAGAAAGGTTTACCTGATTTTGATCTATTAAACTGACTATACTTGAAATATGATTTTGTCTGCATCTTCCTTTATATGGAAACTTTTTTTTTTTTTTTTGAGATGGAGTCTCGCTCTGTTGCCAGGCTGGAGTGCAGTGGAGCAATCTCAGCTCACTGCAACCTCTGCCTCCCAGGTTCAAGCGATTCTCCTCCCTCAGCCTCCTGAGTAGCTGGAACTACAGGTGCGTGCCACCACGCCTGGCTAATTTTTATTTTTAGTAGAGATGGGGTTTCACTATGTTAGCTAGGATGGTCTTGATCTCCTGACCTTGTGATCCACCTGCCTTGGCCTCCCAAAGTGCTGGGATTACAGGTGTGAGCCACCGTGCCCAGCCTGGAAACTCTTTTATTATTATTTATTTATCTATTTTTAAGACGGGGTTTCACCATATTGGTCAGGCTGGTCTTGAACTCCGGACCTCAGGTGATCCACCCACCTTGGCCTCCAAAGTGCTTGGATTACAGGCGTGAGCCACCATGCCCAGCCCTGGAAACTCTTTTATTACTGAAAGAATCATTCCTTGACCAGAGGTAACTCTAAATTCCTTTGTGGATTTTAGAATCGGAATGATTCTTGCTCAGTCCAGCTACTCTCTTGAATTGAGAAGTAACTCAGGAAACATTTGCTGTGGCTTTCTCTTTACAGTGTGGATTGAGGAAGAGAAGGTCGATGTGCCAAAAAGATAAGGCAGATGCACAGGTAGCTGAGTCAAGAGCAAGAGTCTTGGGTCCCAGGCTTCAATTATTCTTGGGCTCAGGTTCACTCTATTCTTGGGGTGAGTTGTCTATACTGACAACTGTCTATACTGACAGTTTTTTAAAAAAAATATATAGTTTGAGTTAGGTTTCAATTATTTAATTTAGGAAGCATTTTTACCAGGACTGCTGTGTGGCACAACACTAGGTGGTGCTGTTCATCACAGCAGCCACCAGCCCCATCTAGCTATTTAAATGAATGAAAGTTAGGCCAGGGGCAGTGGCTCACGTCTGTTCATCCAGCACTTTGGGAGGCTGAGGCAGGAGGACTGCCTGAGCCCAGGAGGGTGAGAACCAGCCTGGGCAAGATAGTGAGACATTGTCTCTACAAAACATTTTTTTCTTAAATGTAATGACAAATATATATTTAAAAATAATTAAGGCCAGGCGCAGTGGCTCATGCCTGTAACCCCAGCACTTTGGTAGGCCAAGGTGGTCAGATCACTTAAGATCAGGAGTGCGAGACCAGCCTGGTCAATGTGGGGAAACCCTGTCTCTACTAAAATTCAAAAAATTAGCTGGGCCTGGTGGTGGAGACTTATAATTCCAGCTATTTGGGAAGCCGAGATAGAACTGCTTGAATGTAGCAGACACAGGATGCAGGGAGCCGAGATCATACCATTGCACTCCAGCCTGGGCGACAGAGTGAGACTCTGCCTCAACAACAATAACAATAAAACAAACAAACAAAAAACCCACTAAAATTAAACTAATAATTCAGTCACACTAATCACATTCCAAATGCTTAGTAGCCACAAGGGGCTAGTGGCTACTGTACTGGACAGCACAGACAGAACATTTCTATCATTGGAAAGTTCTTTTGGATAGCCCTGGGTCTTCCACGAACGGCTCCCTGGAGTTAAAGGGGCATAATCAAGAGGAAGGTCCATCCTCAGTTGTACCAAGACAAGGGAAAGAAAAAAAAAAAAAAAAAGAGGAGGGTCCACACAACACAGTAGCTATATTCTCAAAGCCCATTTGTACACTAACTTCTGTTTATTAAGGTGTACTTTATTTCCACCAGCTAAGGCTGTAAGTTTCCAAAATTTCAAGAGTCTTAGTTTTCTATTCCCTTTAGAGATGTGAATTTTTAAAAGTTTTAGTGAAAAGAGCCCTGAATTCAGAGTTGGTACTTGAACTCTTACTCTGTTACTATGTGACAAATCACATTAGCTTCCCATAGTTGCTATAACAAAACTTTTTTATTGTAACAACACAAACATATTCTCTTACAGTTTTGTAGGTGAGAAATCTGATACAGGTGGGCTAAAGTCAAGATGCTAGCAGGATTGTGTTCCGTTTTGCAGCCTCTAGTGGGGAATTTGTTTTCTTGAGATACCTTGGCTGTTAGCTTCATCTTCAAAGAAGCAATGGTAAAGAAGACTTTCACATCACATCACTCTGACACATTGTTGTGCTCCCTCTCCCACTTATAAGGACCTTGTGATTACGTTGGGCCCAACTACATAATTCAGGATAAATGTTGACATTACAAATTAATGAAGGCAGGCAGATTGCTTGAGCCCAAAAGTTTGAGGCCAGTCTGGGCATCATAGCAAGACCCCATCTCTACCAAAAACTTTTTAAAAAATTAGCCAGATCTGGTGACACGGGCCTGTAGTCCCAGCTACTTGGGAGGCTGAGATGAGAGGATCACTTGAGCCCAGGAGATCCAGGCGGCAGTGAGCTGTGATCTATCACTACACTCCAGCCTGGGCGAGAGGAGATCCAGTCTCAAAAAAAGGGAAAAGGGCTTTCCTGAGGGTCAAATGAAGTACAGTTCGCCCTTGAACAACATGACTTTGAACTGCGTGAGTCCACTTATGCATAGATCCACTTACATAGAATTTTCTTCTCCCTCTTCCACCCAAGACAGAAAGACCAACTATTCCTCTTCCTCCTCAGCCTACTCAATGTAAAGATGATGAGGATGAAGACCTTTATGATGATCCATTTCCACTTAATGAATAGTAATTACATGTTTTCCTTAAGGAGTGCAGTGGGTTCTTGGCTCAGTGCAACCTCTGCTTCCCAGGCTCAAGAGATTCTCGTCTCAGTCTCACAGGCAGCTGGGACTACAGGCATTAGCCACCACGCCTGACTAATTTTTGTATTTTTTGTAGAGATGGGATTTTGCTATGTTGCCGAGGTTGGTCTTGAACTGAGCTCAAGTAATCTGCCTGCCTCAGTGCCCCAAAGTGCTAAGATTACAGGGTTGAGTCACCACGCCAGGCCTCTCAAGGATTTTTTTTTTTAAAGAACACTTTATTTTCTCTAACTTACTTTATTGTAAGAATACTGTATATAA